AGCAACCTTTTTATCTTGACTAGGTCTTCGTCAATGCGGCAGAAGCATTTTCAGAGGATGCTCTCAAAGGCCAAAGGGCAATTTGATTTCTGTTACAGCAACGGGAGGAATCATGGCCCAGAAGGCCGGCCATGAGGGAGGCCTGGGGTGGGCTGGACCTGAAGCCCCTGGGCTTGGGCTTCCCATCTTTCCAGCAAGAGTCCCAAGTGCAGGTTAGCAGCTGTTCTGGGCAATTAATCTCTCCAGTCAAAACAAGAAGCAGAGTCATTACGCCAGGGGAGGTTCAGGCTGGATATTACGAAAAATTTTTTCACCGAAAGGGTTCTCAGCCATTGGAATGGGCTGCCCAGGGAGGTGGCTGAGGCACCATCCCTGGAGGTGTTCAAAAGACGGGTTGATGTAGTGCTGGGAGGTATGGGTTAGTGATGGTGTTGCTTTTTGTTTGTTGTGGGGGTGTCTATTTTTGTCAACGTTAGGTTGACAGTTGGACAAGATGATCTTTAAGGTCCCTTCCAACCTAGAAGATTCTGTGATTCTGTGATTTCCAGACCTCAAGGACGTTCCCCAAAAGAGTCTCAGAAATCGTATTTGCTCCCGTGAAACTTCTGGTTTCAAAAACTTGGCAGCTTTCAATGAAGAAACCCCCCCGTCCAGCTGCAGTAACTATCATCTCTTTGAATCGCCTCTTTCCTCGCAGCCTCCCAAAGCGACACACAATGTGGCAGCCGCTTATTCACGGCCTTTTGTGCAGCCCAATGGCAGGAAGCAATCCAGGGTGTCGTAAAGGACGTCGTGGCGTATTCCAGGGCATTACTGAACCCCATTCAGGGGCTTGCTTGGGTTTTTCTAATTTAAGAATCAAAGCTTCAGCTCACTGGCTTATTGCTGAACACCGGCCAGAGCATGTTTGGCTTCCCATGATTCAAAATTTAAGGGAATAGAAAGGTGGAAAAAATGCAGCCGTATGAGGAGCTCTTGAGGAAAGAAAGGGATCGTTAACAAAAGGGAAATACTCTCCCGTGCCTTCAGAGACGATGGAGGGTTATCTGGGCTCAGAGCACACGAGCAGCTTACAGAAGCAAGTTGCAAGCTGCTGTTTAAATCTCTTTTTTTTGGCCTTTGCCAGCCTGAGCAGGAGGCAAAAGGGTCTGAAGCTGCAGTGTGTGAGGGTGGCTTGGGGGCATCAGAAGTTGAGCACATTTTAGCTGGAAGGGATGGGACGTTTTTATGGCTTTGAGCATCATAGTCTCTATGCTGGTGGTGCAGGGACATCCCCTATGGCAGGGTGGCTGGTGGGCAGGGGTCGGGCACACGTGGCTGTCCCAGGTTGGCCACACAAACACCAGATGAGCTCTGTGGTGGCCCCAGGTTTGCTTTCCTTGCAACACGTTACCTGTAACCACACTCTGGCCAAGGAGACAAACCAAACACTGCTCGATTGTGCAGTCTTTCAGATCAGCTGGTGTGAGAGCTGGCCACCTTCTGCTTCATGGCACCAACCTCAACTGCATGACAGCAGTGCCATCTTTCCCCTTCCCCTCTTGGGGCTCCCTGTGTCATCCAGGACCTGCTGTGGGGCTGATTGGGATCCTCCAGCCGGGGAGGCTGCTTCAGGCTTGAAAGGATGAGGCCTAACTTGCCTGAGACCCGAGGGTGGAGGGCTCCAGGTGCTCTTGGGGAAGCCTTTGAACATACCAAGCGCTGCAGGATGTGGCTGATGGTTATTTGTAATGGGGCAGCAGAGCCATCAGCTGCTTTTATCTCTCTGAGCCTTTGCTCCCCCGCTGGAGAAGCAGGACGATACCTGCCCCCTCACTTCCCAGGGTTGTTTGGGGTGGTTGTTAACCTTAAAATCAGTGATGCACCCAGGCACTGAAGCGGTGGGTGCCACAGAAAAGCCCAGAAGGAAACTAATCCTGGTGCCGGAGGTGGGTTTGAAGAATCAGCATCACATGCTGAGTGGTGAGCAGGGATGGACCTTTGCATGGAGACAGGGAGGCTCCAGGTACCCACTTGCTCTTGGACCTACTCCCTTCCCCGAGTGGCTTTCCTCAGCCTTGCTGCTTCTGTCCCCACTTTGTGCCCATGGGAGCATAAGAGGTGGGGTGCTCTCGCTGTGGTGAGGACCACAGTGTCCTCCCTCAAGGGGGGCTTTGGAGCCCTGGGGCTGCTCCAAGAGGGTCTGCAGAAGGTAGGTAGGTGTAAGTCTGATACCAAGCCTGGACATCAGGTGTGTTTTGAATGGGAAAAGATCTGACAGGGCTAGAAATTTGGAAAAGGTTGAAGATCACTTTGGGAACTTGCTTTTTAAAAGCTCATGAATACTTTCTTTTTTTTTTTTTCCTCATGCTTGAAATGTTACTGAATTGGATGCACAGATGAAACAATGATGTTTCTCTTTCTTAGTCTCCAGCTTGGAAACATTTGGACTCTCTCCCTCTTCCCCACACAAAAGCTGTCTCAGCCAAGAGCAGGCATTAATACTTTTATCAGACTTAAATTGCTTGGGCAATTAAGCAAGGGAAAAGAGCAGCCTTTGTTCTGGGGAAGGCTGGACTGCCCTGGCAGGCAGCGCTACTGGTTTCACCTGGGTTATTTAATCTTTCCATGTTATCCAGGAGAGCTGTGTCTGTTGAGATGTGGGAATGCTCTGCCCCCACCACCCTTGCTGCTGTGAAGGCCAAGCTCCACTGACCTTGGTCACGGAGCATCGTTGACCTTAAGAGCATCATTGACCTTAAGCCTTAACTGGCGTTAATGTTTAGCTTCACTTTCTGGTGTGAATAGTTCCAGTAGCAAAAGGGCAGTTTTGACCAGGAAAACTTCCTCAGCTCAGGCTGAAAACAGACATGCCTCTTGCCAGTTGATGTGACCTGAAGATGTTGTCTCTTCCAGTTTCCATCCTGACTGTCTTCCAGAGGTTGATGCCCTGTAGAGTTTGCTGAGGAAAGAGGTCGTGTGTGTGCCCCAAACCTACTCCTGCAAGATCAGCTTGGGGAGCCTAAAGCTGTCAGTGGCACCCAGAATGAATTCAGCTGGGCTGGCCAGGGATGGACTTGGGGATGTCTGGTCTAACCCCTTCTGGGGTTAGGTGACCTCAGGAACTGCTGTGCCCACACATGCTGGGCACGAGAGACACTTGACGGGTACAAGGACTTCCTAAGGAAGCTGACTTCTTTCAGCCTTAACGCATCTAAGAAGTCATCTGGTAGCGGTGAAACATTCCATCTGCAGGGATGGTGGCCCAGCAGGGCAGAACAACAGTGTCATCCTGGTCAAGGCTGCAGAAGGAGGCACCTGGCCCTTGGCCACGTTATTTTTAAGCTTGGAAAGCACACGTGGTCTGCAAGAGCGTAGCACTAAGGAAAGGAACTCGCCAGCGCTTCCTGCCCTGCCCCGGCAAACTGATAAAGCCCTTTGCAATGCAGGGCCACCCCGGGTTATTTTTAAAACGTGGCCAGGCGTGGAGCTCACAGAATAACTGGAACGCCCAGCTTTGGGCATTAATTCAGCTTTAATTCGTTGCTTGATGAGTTAAAGAGTTAATGTAAATGTAAAAAGGACAAGAAAGGCCCGCAAGCCATCTCCAGAGCAGTGTCTGCATCAGGGTATTCATCTATGCATGTACATGGGATCTAAAAATGGGCAGTCAGTAAATGTTACACGGGGAGGGGCACTTGGCCTTATCCTGAGCAGCCTGTGAATTTTCTTGCTGCTTGGACAATGCATCTCAGTCCTGTTCCCTTCCCTTGTTATTCCAGTCCCAGCCCTCTTGTCAGCAAAGGTAATTGTGTGCCACAGGGAAGGGTTCCCATCTACAGTAAGTGCTCACATGGAGGAACCGTAGGCTCCTGCGCTCCAGAGCCAGCAGCTCCTTGTGCCGTGAGGATAACAAGGCTCACCGGGGTGGACCTGTCTTTATTGCACGCCCTGTAGAGGCATAAATGAGATTGCCAGAGTTGTTCTCCTTCTTGCCCAGAGGCTGGGCATTGCTGGGGCACCAAAATGTGCTGGATTCAGGCCAGGAAGGAGCGAGAAAATGACAGCCCTCGAGTCCCTGTGCGTACGTGGTGCCGCAACGTCTCTTGGCTCTCTGTGGAACAGCCTCGTTCCCACAGCAGGATCCATTGGTTTGTTGGGAATGAAGTTGCTATTTCTGGTCTAATTGATTAGGTATTTTATGGATAGACTTTATTTCTGTAACAGAAACCCTTCTCTCTCAAACACACAGAATCACAGAATCTCATCAGGTTGGAAGGCACCTCTGGAGATCATCTAGTCCAACTCCCTCCCAAAGCAGGTCCACCCAGAGCAGGTTGCACAGGAACATGTCCAGGTGGGGTTTGAATGTCTCTAGAGATGGAGACTCCACCACCTCTCTGGGCAGCCTCTTCCAGGGCTCTGCCACACTCAAAGTGAAGAAGTTCCTCCTAGATGATCTCCAGAACAGACAGATGATCTCCAGATGATCTTCCAAACCCATGTCATTCTGTGATTGTGTGATTCTGTGACCCCAGACATGCTTCCCATGGAAGGTGGCCAGGACAGCCCTGCCGGTGCCATCGCCAGGTCTGCAGCATTAGCCTCACACTGAGGGAAGGCAGTGCTCATCTCCAGTCCTGCTTCTGTACGCCTGGGGACGTCCCGCCTGCTGCTTTCCCTTTCAGCTCAGGGGAACTTGAAAGGAGGGAGGAAGGATGAGCCCTCCCACAGTGCCCCAACAGCATCACAGTGGGTTGATGGTAGCAAGTGCCTTCAAAGTTCTTTTCTTCAAAGTTCATTTGGTAAGAGGACCCTTTCATCCTCACCATCTGCTGATAAAGTCTCTTTGGGAAGCTTGATTGATAACTTGCAGGAACAGGCATGTGCTTAGGAGTTTCTAGACTCTCTTCAGGGCTGGAAAGGACACCAAAGCTTTTATTCAAGTGGGTACTTGCTTTCATTTTTCCTCTTGAGGGAATACACTCCAAATTTTGGTTTATTCTGCCTTTTTCTTCCAGGAGCTGCCATGACCTTGGGTGTCTTACGAGTGTCCCTACTGGTGCTTACGGCTATTGTCAACCATCCGCTCATCTTCCCCAAGGAGAATGGCACTGTCCCCGAGGACCCACAAGAAATCACCCAGAAGATGAAGGAGCGGGAGGAGATCCTTCGGCTGGAACAGCTGCGCTTGGAGAAGGAAATTGCGGAGCAGGAAGCCATGCAGAGGGCTCTGGAAAAGGCTGTGAAGGTAGTGGAGGAAAGCGAAGAGGAGAAGGTCCGATGGGATATGTGGACTGCCCTTTCCATGGTCATCTTCCTGCTGATCGAGCTCTGGAGGCAGGATTTCCAGGAAGGGATTTGGCAGGACACAGGTGGAGAGGAGGATGACATGGCTGTCCTGGGGAAAGCATTTAAAGGTATGGCCTTCCCCGACAAGGCCGTCTTGGCCAGCTTCTACGAGAAGCGCATCCTCGGTACCACCGGAGACATGGCCAGGATGCGGGAGATGGTGGAAGGCTTTGCAGATGACCTGCTGGAAGCCTTGAGGAGTGTGTGTAATCGGGATGCTGACATGGAAGTGGAGGACTGCATGGGCGTGGGGAGCATGTATGAGAACTGGAGAGTGCGTAAACCTTTTGTCTGTGACCTGATAGTGCCTTTTGCCCCCCCCGAGCCATACTGTTTTCGGTCCCAGACCTGGTGCTCTGGTGACTCTTTCCCCCCAGATGAACAAGGTTATGGCACTATCAAGGTATGCAGGGCAGATGAGGCTGTGACAGGTTGTATCTGTGACAAGACTAAACTAGGGGAGGATATGCTGTGCCTCCTCCATAGCCAAGCCAATAATACCAGGCCCAGCAGTGAGATGGAGGACCTCCTGTGCTTCAAAAATACTCAGTATCTGGATGCCGACCAAGTCATGAAGTGGTTCCAGATTGCGGTCACCAAGGCCTGGAACAGAATCTCCCACAAGTATGAATTTGACCTCTCCTTCAGCCTCCTGGACTCCCCAGGAGCCCTGAAGATAAAATTTAGGTCAGGGAAATCGATTGCCTTCAACCTCACCCCCGTGGTGCAGTACGAGAACTCCGATGTTTACTTCATCTCTCACTTCCCTCGGAGCAGCCTGGCAGCAGACCTCCCCTCCAGCACTCACTGGTTTCTCACCTTCGCCGTGTACGAGAGGAGGTTCATCCAGCTGGTCTCCAAAACGCTGCCCGCCAATGCCTGCCACCTCAGCTGCCTTCAGATCCTCTCCTTCGTCCACGGGAAGCAGTGCAGCCTCACAGGTCCAAGCGGGCTCACCAACTACCACCTGAAGACGGTGATGCTGCATCTCCTGCAGGCACGGCCTAGTCAGGACTGGGCCCCGGAGAAGTTGGAGGCCCGTCTACAGGACATGCTGAAATTCCTGGAGAAATGTCTGCATGAGAAGAAGCTCTACCACTTCTTCATTGGCAATGGGAAGGTACCAGCAGAGCTGGGCTTCCCCATCATATTCCAGAGAGCTGAGCCTCTCAACCTTTTCCGTCCCTTCGTGTTACAGAGGGACGTCTACAGGAAGACGGTGGATACGTTCCACGAGATGCTCAGGAACATGACCGCGCTGATAAACGAGTACACGGTGCACATTCCACTTGCGCAGACCAACGGGATCCATAAGGAATCCTTTTAACCAAAGCCAGCAGGAAAACACTCCTTCCTTTAAGCACAAGTCCAGAGGGCAGTTTCTGAAGCCTCCTCGAGACAACGGACTTTGCCAGTTCAGCTTCTCTTCTGCAGCTGAACCCACCCTGGGCCACGGTTTCTGCAGTAAGGGGGAGGGGGTGAGGGGAGGGGAGGACAGGGAGAAATGAGAAGACGTGTTATAAAAGTGAGTTTCTGCTCCGCTGGTGTGCTCTCTGTGTTTTATGCAGCCAAGAATATATTTTTCTATTGTGCCTCAGTCACATCACAGAGGTGGTGAGCAAAAAATAGGACTAATTTAATGCAAACGGTGGTGGTGGCCAAATACTTCATTTCTTTTGGAAGGGGGAGGTAAAGGTGGAGGAGTCGGAGGCAGGATCTTGGGATGGCAGGGGCCTGTCTGCTTGTGGACAGCAGGAGCTCTGAGTCCCACCCATGGGACGTGCAGCACCAGACTGGGTGCTGAGGTGGGGAGAAGGATCGTGCACAAGGTCTGGACTGGATGGAGATCCTTAAATCAACCACAGCTCTTTAATCAAAAAGTAACTGGAGTTATTTAAAAAAAAAAAAAAAGCCATCTTGATAGGATGATAGGACTTGCAGCAGGAGTTTAAATGGCTTGTCCTGTCCTTCCAAAACACCCCTGCACCTCCCTTCTCCCTGGGGAGGACGGAGCAGAGGAGGCAGCAGGGTGTGTGTCTTCATTCAAGTCTTCCATTTCTTCATGGTAACACAGCTGGCAAGTTTTTGGCCATCATTCCTGGCCGTTTTCTGTGGATAAATGCAATAGGATTATTTTTTTTTACCTAAGAGTAAGAAGAAAACCAGCATTGTTGGGTTCTGGCATTGTGGTTTGTTTGTTTTCCTCACCTTGGGGCAGCAAGGCTGAGAGCAGCCCAGAGAGAAAGGACAGGTTTTGCTTTCCTAAAAGAAGGACTTCTCCAAAATCAGGCTGTCAGGAGAAGGCTGTCAGCAGGCTGGTAGCAGGAGGGAACAATCAGCCTCCAAATGAGAGTGTGACTCTCCCAGCCTGGTTTTAACGAGGCCAAGGCCAGCAGGATGGCTCTGAGTGAGGAGGAGGGGATGGATGAGGTGCACATGTAGCAGAGGTCCACATAGGGTCTCCTCAATCCTTTAAAGATTGCTGCTCTGATGAAGCTCTCAGGAGCTGCTGCTAATGGACCATGATTTGAAATGAAATAACAGCTTCTGCAGGGTTTCAGGCCAGGGGAGAATCTCCAGGTACGTGCTAAAACCCCAGGGCAGGAACGGAGGTGCCTGAACTCCCTCAGGAAGCAGCGTGTCAGTGCCAGGCCAGGGGGCTGCCCAGCTCCGGCCGGCTGCCTTCGCTGGAGGAGAGGGCTCAGAAGCTCCTCACTCTCCTTCCTATGCTTTGTGTGGGATCCAAGCCCCAGCCTCAGCACCAACCTGCTCCGTGCTGGTCCCAGAGACCTGGCCCCAGTGCTAGGGGGCCTTACACCAGGATTTCCTGCAGTGTTTTTACCCCAGGGCTCCTCTGAACCCTCTTTAGAAGGGGGTGGTTGTTCAGGGTGGTGAGACCCATCAGGGAGGACGTTACCATGACTCCATAGATGCCTTTTTATCAGCCCTATCACGTGCATCAGAAGATTTAATGCTGTATCACTCCCAGGGACAGCATCCAGCACGAGCCCATTGATAAGCAAACTCTCCATAGGTGTGTCTTCTCCTACCTTTTCCTAGTTGAAACCATTTCACCACCTCCTTGATGTCTGTCCCTCCACCACTGGGGGACATTCCATCCACAAAGGCAGAGGAAGCTGTGACTCCCATTTCCACACCTGGTTTATAAGAAAGCACAGGTGGGGACAGGGAAGTCCTTGCTCAAATTGCTGCTGCCCTTGGCTTTTATCATCCCAGCTGTGGGGTGGTGACGTAGTATTTCTGAGCAGAAAGTGAAGGGCAGGAAACCAAAGGGGAGAGAAGAAGCTGGCGGGTAACACCAGTAGAAAAGACTCCTGGATCATCAGCGGGCACCCTTGGCCATGAGTGCCTGGGAGGCTGCCAGAGCAAGCAGCCAGGACTAATTGCTACCGCTAACGACTTCTTCTTGTAAGGCCCCCCGGCTTTCATTAGTACAACCAAGCAAAGCCTTCCCTGGTAGGAAGGAGGGGACAGGAGAAGCAGGTGGTGACAAGCAGAGGTGGAGGGAGGGCGGGTGGATGCTGGAGCCCAGAGGCTCTGTCAGAAGCCGTGTCAGTCATTTGTGAACCCATTTCCAGCTGCCCGGGTTCAGCCCGGTGCCTGCAGCAGCTCCAGCCCTGCAGGGGCTCTCGCAGCCCAGGTCAGGCTGAAGCAGGTTGTGGTCAGAGCTGCTTCTAAATGTGTTCCCAGCCCAGCCAGAGAGAAACAAAAAAAAATAATAATTCTCTGCCATTTCCTGTCAGGGGTCTAAATTTAGACTGTCCAAAGAACAGAAACAAATTTGTGACCCAGGTCTCTCAGGAAATGACATTCAGGGTTGAAAAATAACTTTTCTATAAGGTTGAGGGAGGGGAGGATGAGGAGAAAAGGCAGGCGAATAGAATCAGGTAACTCCCCTGGTAAAATGTGAGAAGAAAGCTGTGTAAGGCCAGTCCTACGGGCTCCTGAACATGCCTGAGCCCGTCTTTACACAGCTCCCAGCGCTGCTGCTCAGACTCAAAGGGAACCCAAACTGATAAATGGATTGAATCTTTTGTTCTTCCTTTTCTGTATTTGCGTGTCTGTTCTCTCCTAAGCCCAAGCTGCCCCTCAGGGGGTTTGCTGAACCCGAGCTGGAGCCAAACCAAGGAATTTAGGGATTTGATTCTCCTGAAAGCAAATTGCTTGGCTTAATTTTCCTACGTGTCATATGCTCGTTTTGCCCTGGGCACCTTTTCAGAGGCCTGTTCTGTGCGTGGAGGCTGGGGGGGAAAACCCACTCCTACCTGTCTGGGGGGAAAAAGAGCTCTGTGATTCTAAGCTGGGCTCCAGGAAGCCTCAGGGCAGGGATCTCTGTAAAACCAGTACATAGACCAGAGCTGTACCCGTGTCCCACCAGAGGAGATGTGGCCACACAGCGTTTCTCTGGGTCAGACCTTTGTGATGGTACAGAGGAAGCCACGATGTGAAGCACATCATTCCTTGGACTGCATTAAATCTGTGCCCATCACTAAAAGGCCGCCCTAAAACAGGTTTATAAGAGGGTTCAGGTTTATCAGCTGTCAGCCAAAAAAAAGGTCCCATGGTTTTTTAGTGCCACCCATGTTCAGCTGTGCCTTGGTTGGAGTCTGGCCGGGCATCCGTAGGAAGCAGCTTTAAAGGGCGGGGGTGGAAGTGGAGTTTTGTGGCTTAAAGTGAGTAACGTTCTTTTAAAAACCAACCAGCACATGAAACGTGAGTAACAGACACACAACATCCCTTTGGTATCTCCGTGAGAGAGCCCAGGGAAGGGTGAGCTCCTGTCCCACACCTCCCTCTGGTCTCTCAGGCCTTCTCTTGCCATTTGCTCACCAGGTGAGTGGAACAGCTGAGCTCCTCTTGCCTCTTGCTGCTTTCCAACCACTCCCTCCACCCTCAGCTTGTGGTTTTCATATTTTATTATAGGTTCTGTCAAAGCAATGGAATTAGTGGTGGCTTGATAGCAGCCACTGATCTACAACGTAGCCTCAGGAGGCGTTTGCCTTTAGAAGAAGTCTTGGTCTAAGGTTATTATTGTTGCTCAGGAGCTGAATGTCTTCTAAAGGGAGCTGTTGGGAGTTCAACCACAGAATATGGCTTCTCTCTCTCCGAGCTGCTCTGTTCACAGGTCTTACGTGGGTATAAAGATGTATTTCAGCAAACAGATAAAAAGCTTTATCCAGAATTCAAGCAGCAGGGTTTGGTGCTCATTCACCAGACGTTTTCAAGGCAAAGCCTTGGCCACTTTTTCTCTGTGGTGAAGTAGAGACTTTACCCGCCGGTGACAGCTGGGCTGCTGCTCAGTGGGGGCGTAGCTCTCACAGGATCCTACACAGTAAAGAGCTTTATTTATTATGTGTCTTTTGTTTAGGATCGGGGGTGTGTGTGTAATATTTTAGCTCAGAAGCAAAATGGTTGTATGAAGAGATCAGTCTTGGCAACGCAGCTGAGCTGATGGGCAGTAACACTGAAACTCTCCAAACTAAGGTCTTCCTCCATTGACGATGCTGTACTCAAACCGCTGCTTTTGGAGCAGGACACTGTTCAATTTGTACAGAACTTCTCATGCAGCTTTATTTATAATAAAGGAAGTCTTTTACAAAATCTAAAAAAGTGTGAAGTCTGTTTTGTTTCTAGTTCCCCTAGAGATATTTGGGAGAGAAGGATGGAGTGGGGATATGGCCGGTGGGATTCCAGCAGGGACCCCAATAACAAGAATCCCTGTGATTTCCATCCAACTGCTGTGCAAATTGTTCCAAAATAAGATCCAACGTGAACATGAAGTGGAAAAGCTCTTCCAGAATGATGCCAGGGATGTCAGGCTTCCTGACTAGTCCAGGAGTCCCATCAGGTGACTGTAGCCACAGAGATGTCTGCAGCACCTCTCTGCGCCGATGAGCTGCTGCACTTGTACAGCCTCAGCCTCCTCCCTCTGCACAAGTTTCCCCACGACATTTAAGACTGAAATCAGTGTTTTACCTCACGTTTGGGAAAACTCAGCTCATGAAAAGCTGGGGAATGCAAGTCCAGGCTGCACCCCTGGTCCCCCAGCACTGACAGGCTTCACTGGACAGAGGGTAACGCTTGCAAATGCAAGAAGCAGCCTTTTCCACAAGCAAAAGAAAAATATCTCCTTTTATGCACTGCCTGGGTATGCGGCTGTTTTACTGGGCAGGTCTTATCAATTTGATGTAAACCAGCCCTGTATCTCAAACCCTTCATGGCCATCAGATCCATAATTCTGATGTGTGGCTGATACTGAAGGGCTGCAGACCTGAGAGAAATTGTTTATTCCACTCAGGAATGCACTTCTGTTTCCCGACTCTGCACAACGTTGTTTTGCTACTATGCAAATCAGGGTGATGCTTGTGCTGATCCAAATTAGCACTTTTCAAGCATTAAGTCATCCAGAGAGGCAGGCAGGACAGTAAAGCCAGGAGAATAATTGGCAGCTAATTATTTATCTAATGACTTTTTACCACTTACGGAATATCCACAAGCAAGGACAGAATCTCCTTTATTTCAAGTAGGCAGAAATGGCTGTGCTATAAAAAAAAAGCAAGAGCAGTCTCAGAGGACGTGGCGACCTACAGGAAAGCTGAGAGTAAATTGGGCAGGTATTACTCGCAGTCAGACTGGGAGCACTGGTCTCAGGATGGGACACTGCTCAGGATTCCCCCATTTCCTGAGCAGGTTTCATCCTCTCTGCTCCATGGTTCTTTGCTGGCAGGTCTAAAAGCCAACTCAGGTCTGTCCCCAAGTGCCACTGGCACAGGATGAGGTACATGTCCTGCCTTTATCTGGATGCTGTTCGTTTGGAAAGAAGATTTTTCAAGGTATTGGTTCAGTAGCTCCAACCAAACATCTGAGCTGCTGTTCCCCTTCCAAGTAACATTCCAGGCAGTCTTGCCTTTTTCTGAAGTGATGGATTCATTCTGGCAACATAAACTCGGTTATTTTTAGCCAGTTTCCTATGCAGTCAGTGTGTACATGCACAGGGTGAGGGGGCAGAGAAGGGGGGCTGTCCCTTCATCTCCTGCCAAGTAACTTTTGAATCCATCAAACAACTTTACCCAAATTTGACAGGTGTGTAGAGAGCTCAGAAATACTCAGCTCCAATACAGCAAGGAGGCAGGTGGGTGAGGGACAGAGACTCATAATGCTGGAAGCACCCAGGAGACCTTTTCCATGTCCCCAGTGCAGTAGCAGGCAGCTGGTACCCACACCTTCCCAGACCTGAAGAAATAAGCTGGAGGAAAGAGGGTTGAGTTCCTTCTGCTGCTCCCAAACAGATCTGCAAAGCTTTGCAGCACAGCCTGGAGAGAGAGGGAGGAGGCAGACAGACAGACAGACACTACTGTCAGTCACATCTATGGGACAAGCCTAGTCCTGAAACAGAAATCTGAACCAGCCTGTGCTGTGGATCAATTAATATTACAGTGTTCTTCAAAAGAAACTTCACTTTCTAATTATGTTACATTTAGGGGCATCACCTTGGACTCCTCGGATACCAGAAGCAAAATCTCTGGCTGCAGAGGCTTGAGGGACTCTATAGAGCAAAGCTTTTCCGTCACTGCTGGCAGAGGTGCTGCCTTTGAATAAAGGCACTGAGTTTTTTTAACTAGTTATGAGTCTGTCTGGCTAAAATCAGAAGTTATCCAAAGTGTTAGAGAAAAAAAATAATAAAAATCAGCAATTTCTGTCTAGAAGGTGGGTATCTTAAGCTTTATTGATCTGCTCTGGGATGGAAGTGCAGGGGGTGAAACACTGAAATACAGCCCTCCCTGTTCAGGCATTTGAGTGCTTGTAAAACATCTGACTGTGGCACTGTTTTAAAGATTGTACTGTACAAGAACGAAGATTAAAACCCCAATGAAGTCCTTAAAAGTGTGTTAAGCACTCTGCAGGAAAAGGAGTCGATTTTAGATGTGAAACAATCTTCAAATCCACCAACAGACATTAACAGTCTCAGCTCGGAAAAGACTTAATCATGTGTAAGGAGCCAAGATTAAATTTCTGTCTGTATTGTGCTGCTTTCCCAAAGTGCCACAACATTCATAATGCCATTGGAAATCCAATTAGGCTCTTTTCTGCAGACAATCCAACACAGCATGGTGCAATACAGGCCCAGTGGGCAGAGCAAACCACACTGTCCACAGCCTGACTCATCCTCACTTCTTCCTCCCCGGGCGCAGCGAGGCAGGAGTTCATTGTTTGGCTCCTCACCTTCAGCCTTGCTCTCTGCTGGGAATCAAACAGCACAGAGGGATTGCCCAAATCCACAGGGAGATAGTACTTATCTTGCTAACGTGTTCGAGGTCTCGTCCCCACCAGCTTGCACCAGGCAGGGCAGGGCAGCCCTGGATGCTGAAGCAAAGGGTAGCAGCTCTGCCTGGCACCCATCACAAGGGTGGTCCCACAGGACAGAGGAATTCCGCCCTGTCAGCACCATATTCCTGCTGGTTCACTCCACCTTCAGGGTTATCACCTCATGTCAGTATGATGAAGATCCCACACGCAAAGGTAAAGAAGAGCCCCTTGGGCCCCTCCCCACAAAAAAGACATTGAGGGGCTGGAGCGGGTCCAGAGAAGGGCAACGGAGCTGGGGAGGGGTCTGGAGAAGAAGTCTGATGAGGAGAGGCTGAGGGAGCTGGGGGGGTTCAGCCTGGAGAAAAGGAGGCTGAGGGGAGACCTTCTGGCTCTCTCCAACTCCCTGAAAGGAGGGTGTAGCCAGGGGGGGTCGGTCTCTGCTCCCAAGTCACAGGCCATGGGACAAGAGGAAACGGCCTCAGGTTGCACCAGGGGAGGTTCAGATTGGAGATGAGGAACAATTTTTCCATGGAAAGGGTTTTTAAGCCTTGGAATGGGCTGCCCAGGGAAGGGGTTGAGGCCCCATCCCTGGAGGGATTTCAAGGCCAGGTTGCCATAGTGCTTAGAGCCATGGGTTAGTGATGGTTTTATCAGAGTGAGGTTGATGGTTGGACTGGATGATCTGAAAGGTTCCTTCCAACCCAGACAATTCTCTGACTCTAAGAGCAAGGCTTGTCCACATGCAGGTTCCTACCTAAATCCCCACACTGACTGTCTCCTGCCAGAGCCACACCTGACACAGCTTTGGAGGTGAAGAGTTTGATCTAGAGCAGAGATGCACCAGCACAACACAGCCTGGCTAATTAAAGCACATGAAAAGGAACTGAGAGGCACCAAGCCCGTGGGTTTGAAGGCATGGGTTCTATCAGAGCTGTCTGCCCCCACGGAGAAACAGCTGATTAATCACCCTGCCTCAGCTACTGCACGTCAGAGCAGACAGACTCTGCTTCCAAGCCTAAACAGGCACAGAAAAGAGCTGCGTGAGGAATGTAGAGGGAAAAAAACCAGTCACATTCTGAGTTGGGGATTGGCCCAGAGTGCATTCCTGTTGAGAGCTTCCTTCTGAGGGTGGTTTGAGTGACAGGAGGAAAAGCGCAAAAACATCCTTTGGGGGAATGGGAATGTAAGCAGAGAGCTGCAGGAAGGACAGTATTTAGCCAAAACGTCAAACTGCTGGTCCTCACTGATTCTACAGGTGGTCTGAAGGTGACAGCTGCTTTCTCCTTTTCCCCCAACCCTCCTGTGCCTCTGCTGTGCAGCCACAGAAGTAACTCACACGAATGGTTCCCAGCTTACAGGACACACCACCTTCTCCCTGCTCAGCTTGTGGCTGTTCAGTGCCCCTTTTCTTAGCTCCATTTTCCCTGGAGAGATGGCTTTTTCCATCAGCTTTGCCAAGAACAGTGATTCCAAGATGCAAACCTGCAGCACGTGCTGTAATTCTCACCAACAGCCTCCTGGGCATCAGGAGATGGCTGGGAACAACACTCCAACCCCACACACAGCAGCACCTCACTAACAAGTTTTAAAATCCCCATTTTAACACATCAGCAAAGCATTTTAGGAGGGAAAAATCCTAACAACATTAGCATTCCTAATTTACTCGTGTAAATCGACAACTGCCATCCCTGTGGGCTCTGGGCCAGCAGCAGAAAACACTGCTTCCATCTTACAGAAACTGGGGATGGTTTAATAAAATTGCACCTGCTCTCATGACTGTAAAGAGACTGCATTTTCATCAACCATTCCCAAGGGAAACCAATGTCCAAGGACCAGAATGGCAAAATAATCGGGCTACTGGCAGAGAAAGGAGACAGGGTAAGAAAACAGCCAGTTCTCAAACCTTGGTGATGCAGGGGAAGGTACAGGTGCAGTGACAGGGTAGAACTGGGGAGAGCAGTAACCCTGTGCCAACACCACACGCCCAGCACACACTCATGCACAGCCAGGTACCTCTGGTGAGTACACAAATGGCTGTTCAATGAAACACAGAAGCAGCTGACGTTAAGCAAAACATGGCAAGGAGCTGAGATTGCTTTTCCTCTTCCTTTTTTAATTGATTAGAAAAAGCAACAAGGCCAAAGGCACCTGTCTGGACTTCACACAAGTGTTTCAGGTGTCCTTAGTGTGTGACCTGAGGCTTTTCAAGCCAGTATCTCCAGTTACTACCACGTCCAGCACACAAACCACAGATACTTCTAACACCTCCATGGACA